CAATCAGTGGCAGCAGGCATTTGAGTTGTGCAGAGATGAAGACACCCCTCCACCCCCTCAGCCCACAATAAGGGAAACAAGGGATGGAGATAGCAGAGATCTATTCCAAACCCCCACACGACAACCAGAACACTCTGGGATAAAGGAGACTTCTACCTTCCAGACAACTAGGAAGAGATGGAGCTTCAAGTGTATAAGACAGCTGCTTTGCTTGCTAGTCAACCAAATAGAAAGGCACTACGCAGGGTTCAGGGTGGGTGGGTTTGTTTTTTTTTATTTAGGCAATCTCTCACTAGTAGGTGACTAAGGTCTGGTCTATACTAGAAAAGTAGGTAAGCATAGCTACATTGCTCAGGGGTACAAAAAATCCACACCATTGAAAGATATAGTTAAGCCAACCTAAGTTCCTGTGTAGACCCTGCTAGTTTGATGGAGGAATTCTTCTGCTGACCAGCTCTCAGTGAGATGGATTACCTACTCTGACAGGAGGACCCCTCCCATCAGCGTAGGCAGTGTCTTCACAGAAGCACTACAGCAGTGCAGCTGCAGAGCTATGCCACTGTAGCTTTTTAAGTGTAAACAAGACCTAAGAAATTTGTCAAGCCCTGAAAAACTAGCTGCTTACATAGAGGTTCTTATAAGTCTTCATCCCACACTGAAGACAGTGAACTTGGTAAACTTTGGTTGAGAAAACACTGACCGGCAATGCTAGGCACTTTTGTAAGTTGCTACATCTTGCCCTTTGGGAACCAGATGCAGTCAGAGAGGCGGGGAGAGCAGCTCCCATTGGCCATGAACATGGAACCACAGCCAATGGGAGCAGCACAGATACCCTCTGCCCCTCCCCCTCCACCGGGAGCTGCTGCTAGACGTGTCTGCCGCTTTTTGGAGCGGCATGGGGCCAGGGCAGGCAGGGAGCCTGCCTTAGCCCCACTGCACTGCTGCCAGCCGGGAGCTGCCCGAAATAAGGGGCGCCCGACCAGAGCCAGCACCACAAACCCCCAGACCTCCCACATCCCCTCCTGCACCCCGAACCCAGCCCTGAGCCCCCTCCTGCACTCCAACCCCCTGCCCCAGCCCCCTCCCAGAGCCTGCACCCCAAACTGCTGCCTGAGTCCCCTCCCCGAGCCAGCACCCCACACCGCCTCCTGGAGCCCAACCTCCTGCCCCAGCCTTGAGCTCCCTCCTGCACCCCAGCCTCCTGCCTCAGGGTCAGCCTGGAGCCCCTCCAACACTCCAAACCCCTGGGCCACAGCCCAGAGCCTGCACCCCAACCCCCAGCCCAGCCCAGTGAAAGTGAGTGAGGGTGGGGGGCGGGGAGAGAAGAGTGAGCAATGGAGGGAGGGGGGAATGGAGTGAGCAGGGTGGGGCCTTGGGGAAGGGGCGGGGCAGGAGCAGGAAAGGGGGCAGGGCAAGGGTGTTTGGGTTTGTGAGATTACTACTATTTCTACATTTTCTTTGAGGTAGATCCTAGGTTGCATTTAAATTTAAAAAGTGATTATGTGCTTAAAAAGGCTGGAGACCACTGATCTAGACCAACCCTGACAGGTTGTGGTCTAATCTGTCTCTTAAAAATCTTCAATGACTGAGATTCCACAACCTCCCTGGGCAATTTATTCCAGTGCTCAACCACCCTGCCAGATAGGAAGTTTTTCTGTCTGCCTTTTGTGGATGCTGTTATCTCCAAATGGCTAGATGACTCTGTCCTATCCTCGCAGATGACTTAGCTAGCATTAGTAATAGCTAGCTATCACTTTCAAGCTGGACTAAAGTTATGCAGTCTAGCTGGGAACGGAACTATCAGACATCAAGAAACTTGTCTACACTGCCACTTTACAGTGCTGCAACATTCTCACTCACAGGTGTGGACCGATTCCCCCCCTCCCGCAAGTGTTGGCACTGTGGAGGTGGTTTGTTATAGCTCTGGGACAGCTCTCTCCCAGCACTGGTGCCGCAACTACACAGCGCTTTAATGTTACTAATGAAGACATGCGCTCAGTAGTAGTGCTGTTTCTGTACAAGTCCTCAGCAACATGTGACAACATGAGCATATGTCCTCTGCTCACTGCACTGGCTTCCCATAAAATGAGAAATTCAAGATCTGTCCTTCTATTCAAGAAACCCAATAATTTGGGCCCAGAATACCTAAAGATCATCTGTTCAACAGCTCCACTCCTTTGGCACAATAGATTTGTTTACTACAAGGGTAAAGCTCCTCTATGTAGGAGACTAAACTTTTTTGAGGGGTGATCCAAGACTGGATCTTCTGCAGGGTCTAAGATTACACTAAATCTCAATGCTTTGTTCCAAGCTCAAGGTGCACTTCCTTGATCTTGCCTTCATCAATACAGAACATTACACTATTAAATTGTATTACCTGTAACATGTTAAGTGTAAATTTTTATTTAAACATCTTTCCCCCTTGGAAGAGAAAAACATTTGAAAAAGAGACACTAGTTACATTGCTTAAACTTCTGAAAGGTGCTCAGACAACAGTGATAAGTACAGAATAAGATTATAGAATAAAAACAGCAAACCAAACAAGCAAGTCATAGATATTAAGGTCAGAAGGAACCATTATGATCAAGTCCATTTACCAGCAGTAAACCTGAACCTTTCCCTAGTGAGCAGTAAAGGCCTAAGCCACCAATTCCTACAGAATCTAAGTTCCCATTTAACTAACTTTAGTCATAGACCAAAGAGGTGAGCTGGCTGACTGGTTCAGGCATTTGACTGCACTCCGGAAGTTTGTGGTTTTGAGTCCTGCTGGGTCTCACTCTGAAATGCCACCTCCAGTTCATCCAGCTGCAAAATGGGGACCTGATCCATCAGGCTAGGGCAGTGGAACCAGGCAGTTGGATGTGATACTGGCTGTATGGGAAGAGGGACAACTCAGTGGTTTGAGCATTGGCCTGCTAAACCCAGGGTTGTAAGTTCAATCCTTGAGGGGGCCATTTAGGGATCGGGCAAAAAGTGGGGATTGGTCCTGCTTTGAGCAGGGGGTTGGACTAGATGACCTCCTAAGGTCCCTTCCAACCCTGATATTCTATGATTAATCAACCTCACGTGAATGACTGCTGCCCTGCCCTCCTGAATTAGCAGGCAGACAGTTATGGGGACTCCACTGCTGCCTGGCACTTTCTCAGGCAGCAGAACAGGGCCAAGGGGTCTCTGGTGATTTCACACCTGCTCTTAGAGCAGGGGTGGACAAACTTTTTTGCCCGAGGGACACACCTGGGTAGGGAAATTGTATAGCAGGCCATGAATGCTCACAAAATTGGAAGTTGGGGTGTGGGCTCCAGGGTGGGGACAGAAATGAGGAGTTCAGGGAGTGGGAGGGGGCTCCGGGGTGGAGCAGGGTGTTGGGGGGGAGAGAAGAGCTCCAGCTAGGGGTGCAGGCTCTGGGGTGGAGCTGGGGATGAGGGGAGGGTGCTCTGGGCTGGGACCGAGAGGTTCGGAAGGGGATCAGGGCTGGGGCAAGGGGCTGGAGCATGGGAGGGGTACAGGCTCTCGGCAGCACTTACCTCAAGCAGCTCCCAGAAGCAGCAACATGTCAGTTCCCCCTGCTTCCGGCTCCTACATGGAGAAGCAGCCAGGCAGCTCTACACGCTGCCCTGTCCGCAGGCACTTGGGGCAGGGGCAGCTTGCAAAGCCCCCTGGCTGCCCCTACATGTAGGAGCTGAAGGGGAACATGCTGATGTTTCCAGGAGCCACACGGAGTGGGGTATGACCCTAATCCCACTCCCCGGCTGGAGCACGAGATCAGGGCAAGCCCCAGAGCCCACTCCCCAGCGAGAGCCTGAGGGGCTGATTAAGACATCAGGAGGGCCAGATGCAGCCCCCGTGCCGTAGTTTGCCCACCCCTGTCTTAGGGCCAGGCAGGCAGAGATGATGCTGGCAATCCCAGGACAGTGAAGATGAGGAGAGGGCATGAAGTTATTCACACAGGAATAAAGCTCAGTGGTAACAGCCCCCCAGGGCATGCAGAGCCCCCCAGCCCGCAGGCGGCCCCTCTCCCCAGCCCGTGAAGGGGGGGAGGTGCGTTTCTCCAACAGCAACTAGCCAGGGGAGCCCCCCTGACAGGACACAGCGGCCAGGGGCCGAGCCAACCGCCGCCGCGCTGTATCCGCCCCGGGCCCGTTACCGAGCACGGGAAGGTGGCACCCAAGGTCCCTCTCTCCCCGCCAAGCCCCCGCGCTCACCGTGGTGGTCGTAGACGCTGACGTAGGAGATGCCCACCGCCATGCACCACACCACCAGGCTGGCCATGTCCGCGTAGCTCGGCTCCTCCTCGGTCACCACCAGCCCCATGTGCAGCGGCAGCTTCTCCAGGGACCGCCCGTCCCAGCGCCACCGCCCGCGCCCGCCAGGCACCCGCCGCGCCGCGCCCGGCTTGTGGAAGGCGAAGGCCCCGGCGGCGGGCGCCAGGAGCGCGCAGGAGGCGGCGGCAGAGGCCGCGCGGCGCCACCAGCGCCAGAGCCACGAGCGGGGGCCGCTCCGCAGCCGCCCGCGGAGCCACGAGAGCAGCGCGCGCAGCAGGCAGAGCAGGGCGTGCAGCAGGCGCCACACCAGCTCGCACGCGCCGCTCATGGAGAGGAGGGAGCGCGAGGCCGGGGCACCAGCTGAGAAGGGCGGGGGCGCGGGATGGCTAGAGGGCGCGAGGGATCCTCAGCCACAGCGCGCGCCACGCGCCGCCACCGCCACCACCATCATCATCATCCCCACCCACCCACCCACCCACGCCTTGCCTAGCCTGGCCTGGCCTGGCCACTGTTCTGCCCCTCAGTGAGACGGCTTCACCAGCTCAGCCGCCGCCGCCGCTAGCGCCGCCATCTTTGTACTTCGCCTACCCTTTGACCCCCACGCCGTGGAGCTCCTATTGGCTGAAATCCTAGCGATGGCGTCACTTCCTCGTGTAGGGCGAAAATGACGTGGCCTAGCAGGAAGGGCCTGTTCTTAACGGTCCGGGTGGGGTTGTTGCCCGCCGCGACCCGCTGCAGGAGACAGAGACCTGGGCACAGCGGCCCCTCGCGGGGTCCTGGGCAGCAAGCGGTAGCGCGGCCCGGTTTCGAGGAGCGGCGCTGCGTTTCGTGCCGGGGTCGCTGGGACCTGCGGGGCCAGGTACTTGAACTTTACGCAGAGCCTGCGCCAGGCTCGGCCCGCTGCGGAATAGCCGCCCCGAGCATCGCCTGTAGCGGGTCCAGCACCTCTCTGCAAAGCGCCAGACCCTTCTTCAAATCCCCCTCTCCCAGCTCCAGGCAAAGGCGGGGAGCTGAACCTGGGGCTCTCAGGCGAGTGCTCTGACCACTCGGTTAAAAGGCTGGATGCAGCATTTTTCTCCCCACGCTCTTTTGATGGGTATGGCAATGGTAGCTGCTTAATTCATTGTCATAAGAAACCGCTTAGGTGTCTCATTTTGACAGGTTTCAGAGTCGCAGCCGCGTTAGTCTGTATCCGCAAAAAGAAAAGGAGGACTTGTGGCACCTTAGAGACTAACCAATTTAGTCTCTAAGGTGCCCCAAGTCCTCCTTTTCTTTTTAGGTGTCTCAGCTGCTTGATGCCAGAAGTGGGGCTCCCAGTTGTGGGTCACTGTCAGCCTTGAATCAGGCACCTAACTCAGTGAGAGGAGCAAAGCTTGAGGGACACTCTTTCGTGGCTCCCAGTCTAGTATGTTCTCTCGTTCCAAGTGATTTTTAGGTGCCTAAAAGTTAGGTGTTGCAGTGCTGAGCATTGCAATGCATAAGCCCCTTTGTGGATCCAGGCTGAAAGATTTTGTTTCTTTGATGAAAATGTGGTCGCATCGTGTGTCAGTTTTTTGGAGAAACCATGTTACCCTCCCAACCCCCCAATTTATTGAAAGTAAGATTTGTAAAGTCAGCCTCTTCCACCCCTCTCTGCTGCTTCTGTTTTTTCTTCGTTTCATTTTTAAATAACATGCAGTGCCCTGTACCTCACTGGTTACATCAGGGATGGGTAAACTTTTTGGCCCAAGGGCCACATCTGGGTTGCAAAACTGTATGGAGGACCAGATAGGGAAGGCTGTGCCTCCCCAAACAGCCTGGCACCCACCCCCTATCCGCTCCCTCCCACTTCCCGCCCCCAACTGCCCCCCCTCAGAATCATGGACCAATCCAACCGCCCTGCTCGTTGTCCCCTGATCACCCCCTCCCGGGAGCCCCACCCCTAACCACCCCCTAGGACTCCACCCACTAGCTAACCTCCCCTGGTCCCTGTCTCCTGACTGCCCCGACCCCTGTCCACAACCCTGCCCCCTAACAGGCCCCCCAGGACTCCCACGCCTATCCAACCCCCCCCGTCCCCTGACTGCCCTGACCCCTATCCACACCCCTGCCCCCTGGGACCACACCTCCTATCCAACCACCCCTGTTCCCCATCCTCTGACCGCCCCCCCCGAACCTCCGCCCTGTCCAACCGCCCCCTGCTCCCTGATTGCCCCACGGGGCTCCCTGCCCCTTATCCAACCCCCTCCCACTGACCCCTTACCATGCCTCTCAGAGCATACTGCTCACAGTTCTGTTGCACAGCTGGAGCCTGCCCCACCACCGTGCTGCCCGGCAGGAGCCGCGGGCCAGAGTGCTGGCGGCATCGTGAGCTGAGGCTGCAGGGGAGGGGCCAGGTGCTAGCCTCCCCTGCCAGGAGCTCAAGGGCCAGGCAGGATGGTTCCGCGGGCCGGACGTGGCCCGCGGGCCAAAGTTTGACGCCTCTGGGTTACTTGCTATCTTCAACAATTCCATCAGGTTCTTAGCTAGTGTGGGCTAGAAGTAAGGACACTGGAGTGGTCCATAAGAGACCTGGGTTGTGTTCTTGCTGACCAGAGCCAGGGTAACCTCAGACAAGTCACATCCTCTTGTTGTGCCTCAGTTTCCCCATCTGTAAAATGGGGATAATGATAGTGACCTCCTTTGAAAAGCACTTTGAGAGCACAATGTAAAAACAAGGTATTACTATTTAAATATTTCAGTAGATGTGCCAACACATGTGCTTATGCAATTATCCCAACGCTCACTGAGGGTTAAAAAAAAATCACTTTTTAAAGAAAATGCATCAAAAGGGCTCCTTTTTAAAAATAGTAAAAACTTGTGGCTGCTGATTTATGTCCATCGTGCATGTTTTCCTCCTTCGAATCTTGTCCCAGGAAGCCTGTGTAGACTGAGGATTGACAGTAAAAGTGTCTCAACTCAGACAGTGGGGAAGAAGTGTATTAAAAAAATGAGTCATGGAAAAAATGATAAGCTGGGAAGAGCTTTTAAAATTATTTTAAAAAAAGTAATTTTATTACCTCTCCAGAGTGTGGTATTTTTAAATTGTAGGAAATTGAACATAGTAAAACAACTGGCCAACAAAACATTAATTACTAATATTGCAACACATTTTAAAGATGAAATACATATGAATATTAATTAATCTTATAACATCCTTGTAAATAGGTCAGTATCTCCATTTTACAGATGAGAAACTGAGGCAGAGTAACTTCCCCAAGACCATTGAGTCAGTGTTAGAGGTGGGATTATTAGAACTCAGAAGCTTCTCATTCTCAGGCTTGTGTTCGGTGAGGCCCTGATGCACAAAGGTACTTAGGTTCCTAACCCTAGATTTAGGCACCACTGCAATCCACAAAACTCCCACTTGACTACTGCCTAATCCTGTATGTGTCTAAACTTACTCTGTGTCTATATTTTCAGGGTAAAAGTTCCCTTGGTGCCTAAATTCCTGCCTCTAGGCATGTGCACTACTGCCTCACTCAGGGCACCACCTGGATGCTTCTCTCCCAAGTAATCATGTAAGAACAATCCACAAACCAAAGGAAGATAGGTGGAGGAGCATCTATCTTGCATGTGGGGCTTGATCCAGCAGGCATGCTCAGAAACTGTGTACCAGATCAGATCTGATTCAAAATTTGGTTGGTGGGGCTAGCAGCACCCACCTTATAACTTTAAGGCCAGATTCAATTTCCATCTCTTCCTGAGGGGTAGAAAAGATTTGAATGGCAGTCTCCTGAGAGGGCTTCAGTGGAACAGTTTCAACAGGAGACTACGGCTGACAGATTCCCCCTTCAAAATACGTGATAGCTCAGTTGTTAAGAATACTTGCCTGAAATGTGGGAGACTCCTATTCAAATCCTTTTTCCTCATCATGCAGACAGGAATAAAACTGAACTTGGGTCTCCCACAGCCTAGCTTAGTGTGCTAACCACTTGGCTAACATTTATATGGTGGGCTGCTCCTCTTCCTCCTGTAGCTTTTTGAGTGAGGCAGGCATGTAACTCATTCTCACAAGAAACAACTTAGGCATCTAAGCCCCCAAGAGAGGGGTTCCTGATGGTGGATCGCTAACACAGATAAGCTCCTATGAGAGGGGGCAGGGGGCTTAGCTATCCCCCTGTTGTTGCCCTCTCCTATTGACTAGCTTAGGCAGGAAGTTGCCCTTTTGTGGATCACATTCTAAGGCACCTATCTCTCTCCCTTCATTGTATAGGGAGCTTAGGCACCTAACTCAAGCTTTATGGGTCACATTATTGTTCTTATAATTTTCTAGGCACTGAAAAGTCCGTTTGTGGATCCAGGCCAGATTCTGTACCTTTTTTTGTTGCACTCAGCAACAGCTAAGTGAAGAGTATCTCCCACCCAGAATCAGAGATCAGCCTAATTTTTCTGATCCAAAGGCAAAAGGTGCAACTGAATTCAGTACTCTGGCACTATACCCCAGTTTGTATGAATAATGTTTGTCAAATGAAATCCCTGTCTACTAGATTCCTACAACCTGTGCTTGTAAAAATCTGTAGACTGCCTGTAATATATCTTCTGTCTCTCAAAAGAGAGAGCAAGCTCCATCAAGTTAGTTCTTTGCTGTCAGACTGATACCTTCTGATAGTAAGACAGGCTGGGTGCCCTGAGGTAACACTAGACGGGCACTTAAAATAAATTGTTAAAAGAATCTATCATTATAAACAATGGTTGAGAATTAGTGTAACATAAAAATAATTTTATTATGCAGAAAAAGTACTTTTGGACCTTTTTTTAATTAACACACAATCCAATATAAGCAGATAAAAGTCACCTAGTAACCACTAAGTTTGTTTGCCTAAACATATTACTGCCATAAACATCTCACTCTACCAAAAATATTTATTTCTCTGATATCTTGTTAAAAAAAAAAGTTGAAAAACCCCAAATTCCTCATGTCACCATATTTAATCATGTGACCCATATAGCTCTAATTACAAATGCTATTGATACTTTCATAGGTGACATAACCAAATAACTGAGCTCTGACACCTGAAAAAACAGACTTTATGAATGTGAGTGATTATTCAGTAACTGAATGGCACCAGAAAACAGTGGATAATTGAGACTGTTTGCTTTGGAAAGTAATTTGCTGCTATCACTTCTCAGTTATCAGTTGAGATTTATGAACTGGCAGGAAAGCCCTCAGCTTGTTGTTTGTAATTCACTGGTTTTTAGTGTTTGTGTATTTCTGTTCTGTTTGGTTTTCAAGTACTTTGGGAACTATTCAATAAGGTCTGCACTCATGTATATGTCAGAGCTTGTGTTTATATCATAAAGCCCTTTTGTCTCAAATATTCTGGGACACTCCCACCCATGAAAGGCCTTTCACCTTAATATAACTGAAGTAGCAAAATAGATTTCTTCTTGAGGCAGGAAAAACAGCCATATTAATTCTGATATTTGTATTTTCTGTTCCCCCCCCCCAAATAACAGACATTTAAATAGTACACACCGTGTGAGAGAATATAACTTTTTCACCTAGGTGTTGAATTTAGCTATTAGAGGCCAAATAGATGTGTAAACTGGTCAAATTTACATATCCTAGGACCTAAAGAAAATGTAACAAGGTGTAAGATAAAATGGGTAGAGGGCATCTCATCTTAGAATCTTATCAAAGTGTAACTTACATCACTTCTGAATTTAGCCTTATGTTATTTAACCCAGCACTTTCAATCTTCCTTATTAAAAAAAAAGCCAATCTTTCTTTAAGAAATTTACACATTAATAACCCTGTGTTATCTTCTGTTAAATATTTTGATATTTCAGCTCTCTCCTATTACTAAGTTTAAATAATTTGTTGTCTCGTTTTCTTATTTTCCATTAGCATACTGGATCTCTTACACTGGGTGACAGGATGTTTTTGTTTGCACCTTTTATTGCTGTACCTGTACAGACAGGAATAATACATAACCCCAAATACTTACATACAGTAACTTGACCTGCATTGTGGTCAAATAGTTGTTTGTCTATCGCACACCAAAGTCTCCCAATAATTTTGTCTGTCAAACTTAGCCTAATTTCTGGTGGTGGCAGTTCCTGTTCCCTAAGAAAGGGGTAAGCAGTGATCCTTTAAAGGGACACAGTTGAGTCACATTTGGTCCCAAACTTTTGGTTCATGGATACTGGCTCTAAGTTTGGTTTGTAAATAAATGTTACTGAACAATAAACAAGCTCCACTCACCTGTTCTCTTTGTTGTATTTGTTATAAAAATAGACAAGTGGATTACACCTGGAGATATGCCTCAACTAGTTCATCTTTAGATGAAGTGGTTTAAGTCAATTAAAGGGGACAAATAATTATTGAAAATTTAATTTCTCAAAGGCAATACTATGTGAACAGTACTGAACAACCACCTATATCAGTCTGAGAACACACAGAAAACCTTCCAACTTCAGGCCCCTTTTTCTGCAAATTACAACACTGCCATCTTAAATGGGTTGGGGAGTCTCAGATTCCCAGCTGTTGCATCTTGTGAGGTAGGTGTGAATTTTATTTACAGGATTTCCATGGAACTATTTGTGTGCTTGACTGAGCCCTATGCAGAGCTCGCAGACTCAGTTAATTGCCACCATTTTGTCTGAATGTGCCAAACTTTTCTAGCTGCTAGCACTGGTACTCTTATTTTCTACACACATGTAATGTTAAACATAAAGCAGTTTTTAAAAAAAGAGGCATCTTACAATTTTCAAAACACCTTACATCCCCACCTGCCCCAAATTACTAAGTCTTGTAGTATAAAATAAAAGATGAAATGTCAGTGGTAGCCTAGCAGGCTCTTTGTCTGCAAAGATCATTGCTGAATTAAGAAAGATAGCTCTAAGGCTCATCATAGTTACATGATTAATCTATTTCATAATCATAATAATCATCATCCATGTTTACACCTTCACTGGAGAGATCATCAGTCTTCATTTTTTTTCTGACCTCTTTGCCTCGTTCAGCTGAGGAGAGGTGGTCTTCACACCGCTGCAGAATCTTTTTGGAAGACATCCAGCTTTCTCCTTGGCTTTCTGCTGGTGCTGCACACTGTCCTCCTCTGACATCTGTCCCTTTGGCCATCAGCGCTCTTCTGGTTCTCAAAAGGTCGCATGTGCAATTCCAAGGGTTTCCATCCAAATACAGGTACCTGAGACGAGGCAAATTTTCCAGGACTTTGCGATCCAAGGCAGATATCTTGTTGTTACGTAAATTTAAAACCTGGAGCTGTTTCAAGTCCTTTAGCTCTTGTTCTCCAACATCCTGTATGTCATTTCCTTTTAGATCCAACCTGGCTAGAGTATCTGGAAGTCTGAAAGAAGCAAAACAAGGTGAATATATTTATCTTACTGATTCTGCTGGTGTGATTATGCAGGGAGGGAAGCTGAAGGTTAGTCGAAACACATAGATGATAGGCCATCAGCCTTTGTTATCCACCATTTAAAAATTAAGTAAATAATATGACCCACTGCGGAAGAGGTGTGGCCCTGGAACATTCTTATGCATAATTTTGGGCTTTATTTGTCTGAACTTTTACTTTGGGGTGATTTGTTAATTTAAGCTGTGGAGCCACCATCTCTGTCTTTGAATTGTTTTCCCCAAAGTATTACAGTTCTAATGTATACTGAATGCATTTAATTAAAATAAACAGCTATTTTAGTCCTATTTGGAAAAAAGTCTTTTATTCCAACTGGGCTTTCAATAAACTTAGAAGCAGATTCATGGTGTCCCATGTCATACACATGCATACGGCCAATTTATAGTAGTGCCAAACATAAAAAATCTAGAGAAGCCTAAGGACATGCTCCCCTAGCTCTTCTTTGGATGATTTTGGTTGAAAATGTGTGCAATATGTTGCATAGATTAGAAAATTGGGGTGGAGGGAAAAGGGTTTAGCATCAGCTTCAGAAATTGAGCACACCACGTAGGAAGAACCTGAAAAGAAATTGCCCATGTATATGACAATATATTTTATTTAAAAAAAAATAGAAATGCCCCTTACCTGTTTTGTTAAAAAACACTTGAGTAACTGAACGAAATCTGATGGAGACAAGTTAGGTGAGGTAATATCTTTTATTGGACCAATTTCTCTTGGTGGAGGTACACACTTTCGAGCTACACAGAGCTCTTTTCAGGTCTGGGGAAGAACACTTTGCTTGCTTCCCCAAACCTGAAGAAGAGCTCTGTGCAGCTCACAAGTTTGTATCTTCCACCAACAGAAGTTGGTCCAATAAACAATATTGCCTCATCTACCTTGTCTCTCTCATATCCTGTGACTAACGTGGCTACAACAACACTGCAAACAACTATGTATGAAATATGATTTACTTTTCACCATATATGTTGCTTATTTACTTTTGTACTCCGTCACCTTGGACATGAAACTAGACTGGTCAGTTTCATTTCTTTTTTTATCCATATATGATATGACTAAAGCGCTTATATTTCAGAAGCTATACTATTCATTTTTTATCTTCTATTTTTATCCCATTCTGTTGGTGAAAACTTTTTAATAAAGAAGCAAGTTAATTTGGCATAGAAATTTTTTTAATTAAATCAATCCTAAATTAATCCAAAAGACAATATACTATTCTGGTGCCCAACCTGCTGAGGTGAAGAGTGGCAATATGAGATTTAAAGGAAGTCTGTTACATATCATTTCTTTGGGAATTATAAAGAATTTTAACCGGAATTATTTATAACTGAGCAGCAACTCTCCACTAACACCAAATGTTGATGTGATAGTATATTGTACTGCAGTGATCTATCATTGAAAATAACTGAGGAGGTACCACTGGGATATTCAGATGTAGAAGTATTTATCTGTGAGAGGCTAAATATTATACCATGGGCCAAAGCTTGCTGTCATACTGATGCAAATCTCCCCTTGACATCTGTGAGAATTTTGCATGAATAAGGCTGTAAAATGTGGTCTTATGGTGCTAAAGGACCCAGATGAGAGAATAATGGATTATTCCATATGCTTTGTACTGGTAAGATTCCAATCTTACCTTTTGCTTGTGTTACCAGGATCAAAATATTTGGAAAAAAAGCATGATTTATGCTGGTAGTTGGTATGCATGTTGCTTTGACATACAATAAAGATAATGTGGAATGAAATCCAGGTCCCACTGAAACAATTTTGCCATTAGGAGTACTTGTGGCACCTTAGAGACTAACCAATTTATTTGAGCATGAGCTTTCGTGAGCTACAGCTCACTTCATCGGATGCATACCGTGGAAACTGCAGCAGACTTTATATATACACAGAGAATATGAAACAATACCTCCTCCCACCCCACTGTCCTGCTGGTAATAGCTTATCTAAAGTGATCATCACTGTGTGAATTTGTGTGGGGGGGTGGAGGGTGAGAAAACCTGGATTTGTGCTGGAAATGGCCCACCTGATGATCACTTTAGATAAGCTATTACCAGCAGGACAGTGGGGTGGGAGGAGGTATTGTTTCATATTCTCTGTGTATATATAAAGTCTGCTGCAGTTTCCACGGTATGCATCCGATGAAGTGAGCTGTAGCTCACGAAAACTCATGCTCAAATAAATTGGTTAGTCTCTAAGGTGCCACAAGTACTCCTTTTCTTTTTGCGAATACAGACTAACACGGCTGTTACTCTGAAACCTGTCAATTTTGCCATTGAGAATTTTGCCATTGACTTCAATGGGACCAGGATTTCACTCAAGGTCCCTACCCCAAAGAGATTACAGTGTAGGGCACTGATCCAGCAAAGATTTAAACACATGCTTAATTTAAGTCACATTGAAGTCAGGTTGAGTTTTTGTGGCCATATTGTTTGGTCTTTAGTGTTTATTTTAAAAGAGTAACTGTGTTCAAGTATCTAGCTGATCCTACTGCTATCAGGAGATCCACACAGCATCAAAGGCTGACTGTGACAGCTATTCTGCAGCTGGAAGTGATATCTGGCTAGTTCTAGCATTCCCACCCCTTCCTGCAAGAGCTGATGGGGGTGGAAAATGGGGGGGGAGGGGTCTCATCCAGGGCTGTAGCACCAGCAGCAAGAGCCTTGGAGGTAGTTGTATATGTTATGGGTACAACTGCTGCTTAGGGCAGTTTTATTCTTACTAACTTTTCCCCCCCCGTCCATCTGCAGGGAGTCTAGGGAGAGTTGGGAGTGTTCCCTTCTGCCTCATGTAGTCAAAGTCATGTTTCCTCCTCACCCATCACACAGAGCAATGAACTGGTAGTATCCCTCCCCACTCTTGAGACTTGGTCAGGCAGGCGACAGAAACCCAGAGGCTTGCTCAATGAAAGTAACATTGCTGCTTTCAGGTGACCCATTTCAGAAAAGCATTTGTGCTTGGATCCACAAAGGGATGTAGGCATTGGAACACCTGGATTTTAGGTGGCTAGAAAATCACTGGAACAACATAGCAGTCCACAAAGCCTGAGTGAGGCACCTAGGCTCCCTATACAATGCATGGGGAGACATAGGCCCCTAAGAATGGGATCCACCTAAGCTAGCTAATGGGAGATGCTGATGAGAGGGGTGTCTGAAGCCCCACCTCTCTTACAGAGACAGGCACCTGGGTCTCTCCCTGCAGCCCAGACTTATCTCTGCTTGCTATTGAGATCTGGGCACGCATCTCCTGGAGTCGGGTGGCTTAGATAAGAATGAGTTAGGTATCTGCCTCACTCCACACAACATAGCTATGGGGAAGTAAGAGAGGCACAGTACCTCCCTTATGATCTTTAGCCCAGTAGTTAGGATACTCGTCTGGGATGTGGGATTCCTGCTTGATAAGAAGGAATTTGAAAAGGATCTGCTACCTCTCGGGTAAATGTTCTAACCACTAGACTATGGAGTGAGTCTCACTCTCTGACCCAATAAATATTTAATTAAAATTGAACAGCGTCAATATGAGAGATGGAGGGAGACCCATATAAGACTATCCATCCCATGGTCAAGGGGTTAGGACACGTACCTGAGAGTTGATTGATCTGTGTTCAGATCCTTTCTCCTCAGGCAGCTGTGGGCCATGAGCTAGGGCGCTCTCACATTCCAGGTAAGTATCCTACTCACTGGGCTAAAGGCAGCTGTTTGTTTTCCCTTTCCTCTATTAGGCTATTTTGTGTGGAGTTAGCCCTTTGAGCACACCTACTTGATCAGCTCTGCATGTGAATTAAGTAGAGAATTGCCTATCTTCTGCTGGTTCCTGGATCTCAGTGTGACTTAGTTTTCAGAGTAACAGCCGTGTTAGTCTGTATTTGCAAAAAGAAAAGGAGTACTTGTGGCACCTTAGAGACTAACCAATTTATTTGCACATAAGCTTTTGTGAGCTACAGCTCACTTCATCGGATGCATTCAGTGGAAAAAAAATGCATCTGATGAAGTGAGCTATAGCTCACGAAAGCTTATGCTCAGATAAATTTGTTAGTCTCTAGGGTGCCAAAAGTACTCCTTTTCTTTTAGCGTGACTTAAGTGGAATATTGGCCCATAGATGCTTAGATTGAGGCAGCTGAACATGTGCCCAGTGGTAGAAACATAGGCCCTACCAAACTTTTACTATAAAATCTTTGATGCCAAGTGAGTTCGGGTGCCTATGGAGTTATCTGCTTAAGTGCCACCTATCTCATTATGGATTGCAGTAGCACCTAAAAATGGGAGTTATGCACCTAAGAACCTTTGTGCAGCTGGGCCTTAAGCAATTGCTTAAATCTCATTCAGCACATTCTACAGTATTGAACTGGGGCTATGGCCAGCTCTCTGCATAGTCAGACTTCCAGGATGGCAGCTGCTGTCATCCTATCACTGTAGTACCATCACAGTCTTATTTTCGTTTTTTGTACATACGCTCAGGTACCAAGTGATGGGTGCACAAAATGAAACAATTAAAATATAATTCTGCTCATCCTCCACTCCTGTGTTTTTAAAGTGCTCCCTTAGAATTTATGCTCACTGCAGAGTTAAAAATAAAAATTCCCAATATATCTTTAAAAAGTTATATTGTTAAAAGATTATAGAGTGCTCTTTCCTCTCCCTAAATTGTCTCTACTATATGTTGTAAAAATAAGATGGATTAGACAATATTGAATGCAATTACATAACTAGAAAGCAATAAACGTTCCTATGAAGCTAGACTGAAATCAAACAAATTAACATGCCACTAAATCACTAATTATAAAATTCCTACCAAATACCTTCCAGAAATCTGATGCTAAAGGAGCTCTGCTACAAGCGAAGTTTCATTACATTGTTTACTTTGCCCTGTCCATAAAATATAAAATGAAATGTAGTAGTTTAGTGGTGTTAAAGAAACTGATATTACACAGTTACATTGGTATGGTTTATAAC